ATGCATGTCGTCATTTTAAAAGGCCTCCGTTCTTCTCAAAAATAAATCATATCCGTTGAAATTACTAAATCTTGATTGTACTAGGTCCAATTAACATAGATGCGATCAATCAATAAATTTGCTTTTGTTTTAGCGTTTGTACAGAACACTTATAAAACGCCTAAATACCGAGGTCGCTTTGGGTCGGATTGAGCGAAAGTCAGGCTGAAATCGTTTTTGCTCGTAATTTCTSAAAATAATAGATATTTGATCAAATCCCTACTATTTCCTTTACCTACTCATCCAGTCCTATCGATAGGCAAAATGTAAGCCGAATCGATTTTTTGGCCGTGTCCGCGAATTTTCAAATTTTGTTTGATTTTTACTGACATTCACTCATAAGTGCCTAAAGGGACACCTTGCAGCACCTCGTATATGGGTCCATATGGTGTCCAAAGTCCGCTTAAATTCTAATGATCAAAATTATCGAGAATGGGTTAGCAACCGTGCCGCATACATCTGGTGGCTCGCATCTCGTGGCGCCACTCGCATCTTGTGGCAAATTGGCAATCACTCCGGAACGATGTGTGCAATGATAACAAAACTTGGAAAGATGGGTGAGACTTGTGTTGTCAACCATCTGACCACGTGACATGGCCTGACGTCACATATCACGTGATTTTATATACCGAACTTTTTTGCCGATTTTTGTGATTAATGGTCATTACAATAAATGCTATGGTAACGAAACTTGGTACAATGGGTGAATCTTGTTTTCCTTTTTTGATTCTTTATAATATCTTTATTTCATCACCTATCATATTTACTGTGAAAAAGAAAAACAGCACAAAGATTATCAGTCATTTTTAGCGGAATGTGAAATTCTAAAAGGAATCATAGCAAGTGAGATTTCTTGGTTTGAATAAAGTGAGGGTCAAGAGTGAAGGCTGAACAGTAATTTGATGATTGAAGACTGATGTTATATCAGGCTTTAGTTCGTAAGCTATCTATGCAACAATGACACGGGAAGATAAGATTAATCAATGAATCAGTTTTGAAGCATTTTAGACTTGAAAATGTGAATGTATTATCAACATCACTAAAATAGGTGCTTAGTAAACAACAGGGTGTGGCACATTTTAAAGCTAAGATTTAGACTTGTACATAGTCACTTAATTCTCTTACTTGTGCCGTTGTTGCGCTGTGGTTGATGGGAAGGATTTAGTGACTTCGCAGTGAATCAAATGCTTCCCAAAAGCCTTTGGGTGCATTAGTCGCCTTCCCATATTCCATTGCGAATAGAAGGATTAAACCCAAGTGACGCCTGGGTAGATGTCTGAGCTGGCTACCATTGATTTGTTACACTTATTTCATCCCTGATAAGACATGTTTCAAGCATTTAAGAGAAATTTCAAGTCTGGTTTTTAGACTTCTTTGTGCGAATAAAATATCTGTTAATTATAATAATGCGTAATAATCTAAACTAGGCCTTTAGATATCAATGAAAATGCTATATGCTTATTTTAACATTGAGTTTGCTACAAAATAATATTTAGACTTCTAATTAATGTAGAGAGAGTCATTAGCTGATACTCAGCTGAACAACATTAATTTAGTATTCTTTTTTAACTCATGAAAATGATAAAAGAAACAAATTACTAAATATTTATTTGGAAAAACAAAGAGAATCTACAAAACTAAGAAATACTCATTTCGAGTTTACTCATCAATAATGACGATAAAATCAATGTTTTTCTCAAAGTTTTCATGGAAATAATAATGAAAGAGTTATTAGGGTTGTACTGTACTGTATGAGAGGGATAGAAGTGTAAAGAAGTGTTGAATGGTTGATATCTATTAACACCAAACAGAAACTCTATCACCCACAAATTCTACCACAAACACTCGACCATCAGCTGTAACTACTACATCAAAAGGATCATGCATCTGACCAACACCTGAACCATGGCTACCAAATGACCTTATAAACTGACCTTCTTGTGTGAAAAGTTGAACACGGTTATTATAACCATCACAGACAAGAATCATGTCTGGTCCATAAACAGCCAGTCCACATACACCATTAAACTGACCGTCTCTTTCTCCCTTTTCCCCAAACTTGTACAAGAAAACTCCATTCACATCAAAAACACGAACATAGTTTATGTCAAGATAAGATACAAAGTATTTCCCGTTACCATAGGTGATGTACTGAGGCTGTTTATTATTATCAGGCATATTAAACTCATGAACTAAATGTCCTTGTTTACTGAACACCTTGATACTTGGTTTGATACCCAGTTGTTGTTCTCCCCAACAGCACACTGCGATGTTTTTATCATCGTTAACACACATTCCACGCGGTGCAAACCATTGGTCATGTCTGTAGATGGTTCTTACATAAGTACCGTTCAAATCAAACTCCTGTATCCTGCCTTTATCATATGGACCATCACTGACAATTATTCTGTCTTCATTAAACACCACTCCAAATGGATACAACAGTTGCCCTTCTCCTGTTCCTTTCCTGCCAAACTCTCTTAAACTTTTTCCATCAAGGCTGAATATTTGAATACGATGATTACCATAATCAGCAATGGCTATCTCTCCATTATTACTGACTGCTATCGACAGTGGAATATTAAACTGTCCTCTGCCACTTCCTTCTTCTCCAAATATTTTTCACAGGTTTGAACAACTCCTTCACATCGAGTATATCTACATTCTGAGGCGAGTTCTTGATCCTTTCTCCTCCAATATTCACCTGGATTTCGTGCCGTCCATTTTTGTGTGCCTTAAAACTCACACGGTATTTTCCAGTTTGCTGTTCAGACACTTTCTTTTCCACCTCGTTGCCCTCCACATCTTTGATTCTAACATCAATAGACTCGATTCTTGTAGGACACACTTCTCCTTCTGTATTCCTGGTGATTATATTGCACTCGTTTATGACACCAGGAGTTGTTTCCAATGTGGATCGAGCAGGGTCCGTCACATTCTTCACAACCCTGCCGATGTCTAGCAGTAATTGCATGACTTGCTCTGTCATGGAGTAACGTATTGTCACGTTACGCTGGATTGGCTGACAAGACAAGATCGAAGGAGCTTCTGATAACATTTGACTTCTTTCTAGAATCATTTGCTTACTTTCTATTTCCTCAATTTCTACATCTCTCTCCAACAGTGCTCGGCAGTGTTGCACAAATTCATCTGAATCTTTTAGTCTTGTTTGAATAGCCGTTTGTTCTTCATGATTTGCTGTTGTTAGTTCCTGGAGCGTTTGCTTCAGTTCTTCCTTCTTCGCTATTCCGTGTTCTCTTGCCATCTTGCAAATCCTTTGAACCACATTATCAACGTCCCTCTCTGCCACGGCAATCTCTCTTTGAATTCTTCCTATGTTTTCTTTAGATTGCTCTAGTTCTTGTCCATCGTTTTGTTTTCGTTGTTCCACTCGATTCATCGCTCTTTCGATCAAGTTCCTTGAGTCCTGTCCAGCGTCTTCTAAGCTCTGCAGTTTGTGGTTTTGGTGATTCAAAGTAGCGCATTTTTGGCAAACGCAGAGTTTACATGTTTCCTCTTGACAATAGTATTCAAGCCTCTTTTTTTCGTGGAACTTGCACAGCATCTGGTTTTTGATGAAACTGTTTACGTTTTCCTCCTTAAATTGATTGATCTTTATTGGCTGGTGTTCAACTTCTACTTGTTTATATACCTTGTGGGTTTTATGGGCGTTGAAGCAAGCCTCACATATCAACCCATTACACTGCCCACAAAATGAATCCAAGACTTGCGGCTGTTCACAGCAAACACAATCAGATAGTCCAGGTTGGTTTGTTCTAGTTTTCATGGCTTGCATCAACGTTAATAAAGAATCAAAGTAAAATGAAGAAGGAAGCTTCGTGGGATCGCCGTCTGGCACAACCATCGTCGTGTTGCACATCGGACATTCAATTCGATTGTCGCCTTGATTGCCGCTTGTCTCGTACCAATGAGAGATGCAGGGTGTACAAAAACTGTGAAGACATGACAGAGTCTTGGGATGGGTAAATATTTCTGTACAAATGGAACAAGTGAGTTCTCTTTCGAAGGTGTCTGTGATGTCTTTGAGCGATTTGATTGCAGCCATTTTCGCAGGGATGCGGGAAAGGAATGCAGTGAGTCAGATTTCTTGGAACTAGAATGTGATATACAAAGGAGTCACGTAATGACCCTGTGGAGAATGCGTCTAGGCACGCCGCCTGTGATGACATCAGCGTTGCAGATTCTTGACCTGATCTTCACTAGAGTGAATCAAATGGCTCAACTGTGTTTTGTTTGACGTACCGAAATAGATCAAATTGGAACTTTTTGGTAGCAAAATTGTAAACAATCCAAAAGCAATTACTTCATGTGATCGAAACGTTTTCTTTCTTGAGTAGGGAAAATTTTTTGGACTCATATTTTTTGTGTCACCATTCTACTTTGCCTTTTGAGAAATGGAAGAAATATGAAAGAAATGGAAAAATGCGAGGAAACCTGTTCATACTGTCACACTGCTGTCTATAAATGGGCACCAGGGCACCGAGAGTTCGAGTTGATATTCTACCTGTCTAAGCATATGTTGAGAAATTAAGCACATGAAGTGTCTACGAAATCGGAACACATCATCAAACCTTATAAAACGGCAGTTGAATCAGTTTTCAAAGTAATCTTTCTAAACAACAAGGGTGAATGGTGAAGAGGTAAAGGAGGGGACCTATTACCCCCTGACCCACAGACCCCCCACCCTCCCCTCCCTTACGTCCTATTGGATTATCATTTGTTCCATGGATCTTTTGTTATGTGGAGAATACTCATCAAAACACAAAATTGGTGTTTGGTATTTTATTGATGGTCCTGGATTGGTAATCCCGAGATCAGGAATCAAAATCAACAATGACTGCAGCTCTTTTTTCTCAATAGCACTGAGGGAAATCAAACCAATATTGTCAATCAGTGTTGTCATAGTGACGTGTTGTCATAGTGACGAGTATCAGTATTGTCCAATATTCCCCAAATACCTTCTACATAACAAAAAATTACACTATTAAGCAATTGTTAATATTATGAGCTGTAGTCATTGTTAATTAAATGTTACTAGACAGGGTGATGGCTCAGGTCGTTACAAAATGTTCTTGTTAACAGTGTCTTTTATTGTAGCAGACAAGTTTATAGGAAAAAGTGGATTTTTTGTTGCCATGGAAACAAGACCAGCCGCTCTAGACCTCGGCTTTTGATGGCTCGTCAAAGTTTTGTACAAGCACTGAAAATAATACAAATAACATTATAAATTTAAATAAGGAAAATAGATAATAAATAAAGACTTCTTACGTTCTCCGTTTGATTTTAGGGAGGGAACTGGTCAAAAAACTTTCAGAAAACAATAGCAGCTTTCAATACTAGGCAAACTCAGCAGCTTCAACCCGAATCCTCAAATATGCTTTTTGGCTTGCTTGAATCAAAATAATTAGCCGCTATCTTTTACATTTTTGACCGGGGGCAGTAAAAAATCCATTGAATACCAATGGACAACTTTCAACTACAGAGTGTACATTTTATGAAAAATTGCAGTAAGCATTGTTCAATCAGACGATACCCATTGCTGCTAGTTAAGCTACCTAGACTGCAAAGCATTATGGGGAATTCAAAAAAGAACACTACTAAAGGGAAGGAGAATGTTTTAGGTGGATCTGATATCATCATCCTACAGCCTCAGTTTTCAACCACTCCACCGAGTATGTATTTATCTGGATCTTAACATGTCCAGTGGGTCAGGGAGGGGAGAGGACTGTGAAATACTTTTTTACATACTTGGAACTTCATTATCATCCTCTTCTACTTCCTCAGCTGTATTGGTCGCTGCCCCTATATCACCTAGAAATGCAAAAAGGGCAGAAATATTAATACCTTGAGACCCTACCCACTCTATGCAAATCCAATCTCCCTCCATGGGGGGAGGTATTGATATTTTCTGGTACTACACAATGTACCCTCCTCAGACCCTCCCCACCCCTTGGAAATTCCAATCCCCCTCTGTGGGGGGAGGTATGGATATTCTCTGGTACTACGCAATATACCCTACTCAGACCCTCCCCATCCCTTGGAAATTCCAGTCCCCCTCCATGGGGGAGGTATGGATATTTTTTGGAACTACACAATATACCCTACTCAGACTCTCCGCACCCCTTGGACACTCCAATCCACCTCCATGAAGAGGTATATATATATATACTTTTGGTACTACACAGTATACCCTCCTAAGATCCTCCCTGACAAGGATATTAAATTGTCAGTAAATTTGGTGTAAAGGAACAAGTTAGTAAGTCAAGGATTCATGGTGTACTTACTGGGAGGGAATTTCTCAGCCAGTTTCCTCAAATTAGTAAGGCTATCACTTCCCTAAGAAACAGAATGAAAACAGGATAATCAATTGGATCACCAATGTATTAACATCATGATAATAGAATCTATTAACTTAAAAGTTGATTTAAGATCCCTGGTACATGATCAATCATCATGTTGGATCACCAATGTATTAACATCATGATAATAGAATCTATTGACTTACAAGTTG